ATACATACGTACGTACGTACATACCTTCAAGACATGTGTAAGTATGTTCATACAGGCATACATACAGACATAGCTTACCTTACCTTACTTTGCCTTACACTGCGTTACGTTACCTTACCCTGCACTACATGCACAGATATACAGATCCTCAGATACAAAGGTACATATATACAGATGGAGGGATAGATAGACACATACATGCATACATACATACATACACACCTGCATCCATCCATCCATTCATCCATCCATCCATCCTTCCTTCCTTCCTGTCTTCCTCCATTCCATTCCATTGCATTGCATTGCATTGCATTGCGTTGCGTTGCATTGCATTGCGTTGCGTTGCGTTGCGTTGCGTTGCGTTGCGTTGCGTTGCGTTGCGTTGCATTCCATTCCATTCCATTCCTTTCCTTTCCATTCCATCCATCCATGCATTCATGCATACCGACAGACATACGCACAGGCATATGTACACACATACAGATAGGTAGGCAAGCAGGCAGGCAGGCTGCATGCATGCTTGCATGCATGCATGCATGCATGCATGCGTACAGGCAGACAGACGACCGACTGGTCGACGAACCGTCCGACCCAGCCGACCGACCGACCAACAAACCGACGGACGGATCGACGGACGGAGACAGACAAACGTACATGCATATAATATGCGCACATTCCAGCATGCTGACAGACAGGCAGACCCGCAGACTTGCATACATGCCCACATGCGTATAGCATAGAATTGTTTAAATGTACATGCGCATGACCCACGGGGACGCTCCTCAGTCGAAGCCTATAGGGAAGCTTGAGAAACCTAAAGGGAAGCCTTCTATCGCCCACGCCACCTTCTTGAAACTCAACTCTCTATTCTGGAAGTACGGACATACTTCCCGAAGACACCCCTCAGATTCAGTGCTCATGCTTCTATTGTCACTGTTTCGATGCCAGCGCTCAGCCCCAGTTGGCCTTTGCAGCTTTTGGAATGGACTGTTCAAGAGGGATCCCGAATTTTACGGCCTAATGTGAGAGGAGTCTGTGGGACATGACTATCAGGGTATGCTGTCAGGGGGTGTCGAATGTCCTTGGCTCAGGTGCACCATGCAGCGGCAGCTGCGTCTCCTTTGCAAGTCGAAGACGGAGATCTGACCCGTTTCAAGGTTGGCTTCGTGAAGACCTGGCAACCGGGCTGCTGTTGAGAGGCTTGGTTGATAGGATCCTGACTTGGATTCTTGGGGTCACGCCCTTGGCTGCCCCTAACAACACAAAAACCTTTGAATAGTCCTTAGCCCTAGCATCTCAAGGCTGGTGCTTTAATGAAATGTTAGCCATTATCATCGTAGCTAGCTCTTTTCTAACCCGGATGAAACATTGGCACGATGCTTTGATTCAGTTACGGAAGCAAACTGCTTTCGAAAGTTTATACACTCCTAAGAACGATGGCGGAATGTAGCCACCTCGTCAGCTACCCAGGCAGCTGCACAAGAAGATCCAGAGGCAGATCGCCCTCCCGTGCTTTGTCTTACCGACTTCACCATCCTGCCAATGTCTGGAGTCTAGAAAAGGTACTCTTACCACGATCTGTCCGCACAAGCCGTGGCATACAAAGTGTCGAGAAATACATGCAGTCGTGGGCGTTTGCCGTGGCTTATTTGCTTACTTTGGCAGCTAAAATGTTCACCGCAACTCCCTGCATTCCTTACATGAGCCCAGTGAAAGGTACCACGGAATCTTATTTTTACTCGCTTGAAGTCGTAAAATTCGGGTGAACCTCTGAGGTACATTTTATATTGGCTCTGTCACCTGGCGGCTTTGCCGTGGTCAATCATCAGCTTGTGCAAGGGCTTCGGCCCAGACTCTTCGGATGAGAGGCTGGAGAGGCTGCAGACATACAGCCACCTGCAGGCGCACTAGGGTCGGGGCAGCCTAAACGCGTCCCATTGCCCCTGGCCAACCCTGCCTGAATCAGGTGCGTTTGTGGGGGAATCTGCTACTCAGCCCCACGTTTGGCATTCCCACTTACATCTTTGCCCTTCTTCCGTGGCTTTCGGTGTATTACCACCGGCAGTTCTTCAACTTGACGAAGCAGATGATCTTTGCCAAGACGCAAGTTGAGACTCAGCAAAGAATGCAACAGACTGAAGGGTTGATAATGTTATCTTGGAATCCTCAGTCCAACCTGGTCCTGGTGAAGGCTTGACGACCATAGATCCCAAGGTTATCCTTGAAAGCATGATTTCAGGCTAGTTGTAGGGACCGAACACGACGTTTGTCAGCAGAATGGAGTGGTACATGAGCCAGATGAGTCCGAGAGATGGAGTCAATTATGGTATTTTTGGGGGTTGGGGGTAGAGAGGTGGGTAGTACTGGGCCAACCCTCTATCGGAGTCAGCTATTGCAGCTTCTGCATTAAGCCCGGCAGGGACAGCCCAAGAAACTTAAGTGGCAAGTCAGGAAGTTGCGTTTCGAAGTTTCTTGCGTGACTTCGATCTATATGTCGCTCGGCTGCCAGCCACTCCCCGAGCTTGATTTTGCCGTAGGTCAAGGAAGAAGGCTTCCCGATCCGGATCGATCCGGTTTCTCAGAGAGTTCATGTGCGAATTTTGGAGACCGTTTGTTCACGAATGCTGCACAGAGTGGTTCCGTTTTGGGCTTAGGGCATGCGGGAATACATGTTGCGGGATGCAGGGAAGTTGGGACATCACCGGTCCGCGTGTAATCGAGTTGCAAACTATACGCGAATTTGCAAGCTCGTGGGCTGTTGAACACACGCGCACTTCGACTTTGTCTTTCACTGGTGTGTGTTACTGTACACAGTCGAACACTCACGCGCTTGCTCGCTGCCCATCACGGCCGTCACGTCGCTTAGGATAATACGCATGTCTGCATTGGGCTTGCGCTTGTATCCACACTGTATCTGTTCTGTCCGCCAAGTTCAGTGCTGGTGGCCTTCATGCAACGCCTTCGTCCCTGTGGATATACCTCCTCATCCTGGTGCTGAACACGCTCGGCAACGTCTCAGATAAGCTTCGCGTTCTTTCGGCCCTCTGACCATGCGACCATGCTTTGACTGTCTGAGGCCTTAAAGGTCGGTTTGTCAGGCTATACGGGTCCAACAAGTCACCGATGCACAATACCCTCCTCACCTTCTTGATATCGTTGGAAGGCTTAAGAACTATGCCCCACTCAGTTCTCACTGTTCACGCCTCTGTAGTGCTTTTCAATGTTTTCGACCGACCCGTAGCTACCATACTTGCTGTACAGGCTTAGCTTCACGTGGGCTTTTTGTGTAGCACACTTGTGTGCGAAGT